AAAAGTAGGAGCAACTTTATTTAATACTTTTGATTATTCGATTGATTGATTCAAAAGTACGTTTTGGTGAAATAATGCAAAAAAATGCTAATCTATCTGTTAATTCTTTTCAAATATATTAAATAACAGCTTATGCATAAAGTAACATTTTGTTTCAAAAACGCAGTATTCGCTTCGAGCCACTAAAAGCAACATTCTTTTTGGGCTCATTTTCTTCGAAGGGACACCAACTCTAGCTAAAAAAAAATAAAAATTTCAAATTTAGTTGTATATAATTGTTAACAAATAAGAGGCACTATTTTTCCCTAATAAACAAATAAAATAACTTCGCGGTTTTTAACTTTTGAAATAAGTTATATACACCATTCGAAAGCTCGTAAAAAAACCTACAAATTGAAAAAAGTTTTTACGACTAGAGTTAACTAAATTTGAAAAAAAAATTATTTTTTTTAACTAGAATATACTTAGTGTCCCTCCGAAGAAAATAAGCCCTAAAAGAATGTTTTAGTCATAACCCTGCCCCCGGAATAGTCATTTGAAAATGGGCTTTTTTTGCAAAAATGGGATAAATAAATGGAATTTTGCAAAAACTATTTGACCGATTGAGCCCATCTTTTGCACATCTCTTAAGGATATAAAAACTCACATTTTGGGAAAGTTTGGTAAAATTTTATTAATTATTTAAAAAGGTATTAACAATTAAAGAGAAAGAACTTTTTCCGTTTAATTTTCCAACACATTTTTTGTTTATAAAGCAATTTTAACTTATAAAGTCTCATTTTAAAGATGAGTTTCTCTAAATCAAATCGTCTGTTGAACATTTTTTGCTAAGATTAATAGTTATTTTACAATAACGCATAGAACGAAAAATTACGAATTTTTGACCTATTTGTTGATAAAAAACAATGACGCTATACATTTTTCATGACCCACGAGATGAGACGCCTCTTGTATTATCATTCCCAAGACTTTCCAACAATAAAATCACGCGCAGTAATTTTCACGATTTCTCGATGATTTTTCACCTTTATTTCTTGGTCTACAAGTTTAACTCTAGCTTAACTACAGTGGAACTGAATGAACCATCAAAGTAATAGTTAAAAAATAGTTCAGAATAAAGAAATGTCAAGGTGACAAACATAATTTCCAAATTTAAACTAATATATTGCTTTTGCCGAAAATTTTTTACAAAATATGAACTTAATTGAAAATGAAATGACAAACATCTACTTTAGTAAAAAAGAGAAGATTTAATGTTTTCAAGTCAGTGGTTGATGGTAACCACAATTCTAAATTATCCCGCAAACAATAAGACTTTCTTGCTCCTAGTACTTGCAGTTATTTTAATTTGCACTGTATAAAACTTTATAGTGCATTGGTTAAATAAATTGGGGGTGTTAATTTCTATTCCTATTTACTAACTTCAGAGATGCACTATACGGAAGGGTAATGTTTCCTACAGACGAAAAGACAAAAGTGATATTTTTTCCAGTTATATTTGTTAATTGATTTAATTGTGTTGCATAAGTGACTGCTTTCATAAAAACTGCTTGTGAATAGACCGTGTCCAATTAAAATTTTGTTATAATTTCGCTACAACGTATGTTACACGAAATGCTGCTTAAAAGTGTTATAATCGGCGCGTGATGCTATCTACAGCCGTACCTATTTGTTAAACTAATGAAATCGACATGAGTCTTACAGAAAATTTATTTTACGATATTTATTATTCTTTCGCACTTAACTTTCTAGTTCAAAATGTTATAGTTTAGATGCAGCTCAAGCAATTGTTAAGAGTTGTACATGTCAAATTCTAGATAGTTAGTTTTCACTTGTGGGGCAAAGTACGGAAAAACATTTGCAATGGAATCATTAAATGACATTATTCGTATATATCCTAATTTTATATTTTGTTGACACAAATTACATCGATAATCTCTGATTTAATAACTCACTTTCGTCAACTTGAGCAAAAACATTTTACTTACCGACGAAGCCTGTTTCACTAGGTCAGAAATCGTCAACTCCCATAACAAATACGTTTATGCAGATGAAAATCCACAATGTACTGAAATGCAACATTTTCAGCATGATTTCAGAGTAAACGTGTGGTCGGGAATTATTGACAATTTTAGGCTTGTTTTGGTTATGTTAGCGGACAGTCCTAGGACAGTTCAAAATAGTTACCCAAGTGTATTGTCAGTATGTCTTGAATTAGATGTTCTTATGAATGAAATGGTCAACTATTTGAACCGTCCTAGAACCGATCTCTGTCGGAACCAAAACAAAGCTATTATTATTGGTTCTATTGTGCTTCCTCATCGGTTAATTGGGACAACTTTTTACAACAAGTATTACCTAATTTATTGGACGATTTACCCTTACTACTTCGTCGCAATATGAGGTTCATGCACGATGGAACACCTCCCCGCTTTACAGTACCTGTCCGTCAGTATCTACATGTGCATAGTGTGCATAGAAAACAGAAGTTTATGCCTTTACTGTTAATAATGCAGAGGAATTGTTCAGGAAAATCCAACATGCAACTAACACTTTACGAGGCAACCCAGGAACCATGCAGGAAAACCAGGAAAACGGGTTAATTGTTGCATACAAAAAAATGATGGCCACTTTAAACATTTATTATAAATGTTATGTTAATTGGAGTAATTTTGGAAATAGGTAAATTGGGTTAGTCTACTTATTTTGAGTCAAAGAGTTTGTGATCTACCCTGTATATCTCCATATTTGGGTTCCTCTTAAAAATGTCCTAACAATAAATGAGTTTAAATCTTTCGATTAAAGAAATGAAGGCGAAAATCGATTACTTCATTACCAAATTCCATAACCTTGTCCTAAATTGACCGATATTGAATCTTTTGAGACAATGGAGAACTTCGGCGGTCCAAAAAAAGGACATTGTATGGTGTCCGTTAAGAGTTTGCAATAACATATAGGAAATATTTTTTTGCTAAAATAATATTTTTTCCTTTTGTTTAGTAAAAGTGATGATTATTTTGAAAAAATATTCAAAATTGAATGTTCATTGTCATATAACATGTTTTAAAGAAAAATCAAATAAAAAATTTATATCTACTGCTTATTTAAATGTAATTGTTTAAATTTAAATTTTTTCACTTATTTATACACTTATATTTGTATGTTCTATATGGATTTCAGGAAAAACATACATCTTTATTGTTAAACGGGTACAAAGAGTTGGAGAACTTCGTTCTTATAAAGAGTAACCTGAATTGCTTAAATCAAACTTTATCTGGTGGTGGTATATTTATTTAACGAGTTTAATTTGAAATTCCTGGAAGTATTTTTTTTGTTAATTCATTCCTTCCTATAAGTCTAAACAGTAATTATGGACTGGGATAATTCAGGCGTGACGAGTCTAGCCACATCATATCAAAAGTTTAAAATCTCGACTTTTTTTACACAAAAAAAAACGATTCCTACATTTTTTATTTAATTAAAGTTAGTCATTTTTAAGTACCTACAAATGATTTAAACTTCAATGGTAAACGTACCTCCAAATATAAGAACAGAACATTCCGAAAACCCACTTCAATACATTTTATATTGGAGATACTTTATTCGATGAAGATATCAAAATTTCACAGGAGAGAAAGATCTTTTAATACAAATTCTGCATTAGTTAATGAGAACTAGATATCCATAAGTGTTATGTGACTGTGTGTATGCCCCAAAAAACTAACATGCCAATTATTACAATTTATGACCGTTTTAAATTTGTGTTTCTCTTTTACGACCTGTTAAATTAGGTGGCAGTCTTTAACGAACATACTTTTTATCAAACATGAACGCAATAATGTAAGCATGTGGAATAATAAGAAGTAGCTTTAAAGGACACCTAACAAAGACAAAAGAATTGGAAAATTGTACAGTGCTCATACAAGAATTGTGATACTTGAAATGGAAGGTCTAAAGACACATGAAAAAATCTCCCATAATGATTGACGTCCTTCCTAAGCTGAATAATAAAAAAGTATTATATGTATAGTGCATATACCTTTTCTAGATAAGGTTGAGTATTTTTCAGTAAAAAATTTAAATGAATTTCTTTTTAGAACTCATTTTACGATTAGGCACATCCAACTGAATTAAGCTTTAAATAATCTTATTTTTATCCCACGAATCTGTACTGAGGCTGCTACTTCCAACTCTTCGCAGACATATTAAGGTGACCATATCCCTGGCCGAGAAATAGTCAAATTTCTGGCGCTTTTAGGTACTGAAATCTTGAAAAGTAAAACCTGTAGAACAAAAGTAAGCAATAAATAAAATCCTTGATGTTCTGTTTATTCATTGTTACTATTTAAAACTCAAATAAAATAATAATTTAAAAAAAGCGTATTTAAAACATGTGTTTGCTGTTATCCTAATCCTACAGTTTAAGAATTATTTTCACGTACTTATAAATAAAAGTAAAATATAAGAATATTTACATGTGGAGTTATATATAAAAAAGTTAGTATTTTCGTAGATTTCAGTACCTAAAACCTTGATGGTTTCATCGTTTTTTGCACCTGTTTATTCGTTTTTTTGCGGTGTCTTTGAAAATACTCAGATGATATGACATAACATTATTTGATAAGCTTTAGATTATTCAGTTATTAAATGTTTGAAATTATTTGTCTTTGTGGAAAACACTATTTAAAGAATACGGCGCCTTTAAACAGATTTTTTTTTCGATGGAAAATGAGAGATGTGCAACTAAATTTCCCTATTTTTATCCAAATCAGTTTCCTCAATTATCGACTAACTCAATGATTCTTCTATCCATATTTATAATTCCTGAGATCTCAACCGTGGTATAGAAATGCTGAGTGTTCAGCCAAGCATCCCGCTCGAAAATGGTGCATTGCGAATGATGCTCCCGGTGAAAGTACGGAATTTTTATACATGTTCATTGGGTGCCTTTATGAAGACCCCCACATGAGTATATAAACAATTCACCCCGTGAAGAAGACATCATTCTCAGTCTTCTTCCCACAATTAACACCAACATGAGAGTGATTCTGGTAAGTATGGATTTTTTACGATTTTGTGGTAGTGGTGAATTATAAGTGTAGGGGAAATATGTGCAATTATATTTTGTTAAACATTAACATTTTAATGTCATTAACAAAAATTAAATTTTTCTTAGTAAATATCAACGGCGTAACATAAACAAGTCAGTGTTTTGAAAGTATTAAAATAATAATAGTGATTTTTGCAAAAACATTCATGCAAGTACACTACTGCCAGTTCAGAATATGTAGAAAAACTACGAGAAAAAAAATTATCAATTACTAACAACTGAATTAGTTTTATTTTCGAATATGCAAATATATTCAAAAGGAAACTATGATAATATACATACTAATATGTAGTTTCAAACAACCTTTTTAATATTTGACTGAAAATTTTCAAATTCATTCTCATAAAATAGAAAAAAAAAATAGTTTTTATAAATAATTTTTCCGTCTGCAATAAATTTGACTGATTTTTTATATAAATTTTTCAGTGAATAATTCTTTGTATATCACCCCACAGAAAATATTTAAAATATAAATTATTTGAAAAATTTATTAGTGATTATTGAGAAAAATTTTAAAATTGAAAGGTTTTTTAAATATAATTGAACTTATTAAAAAAAAACATTTCGCATTGAATCATGTGTACGTGTAATCATCCCTATAAGCTTAAGATAAAAATGCTTCTAAAATTGTAAATTAATTTATTTGTTAAATTATTTTAATGTTCTCTGTAGTTATATATTTGTGATAAAGATCATAAAGTGGAACTGTTTACAAAAATACACAAGAAAAATATAATGGGTAGGTATAATTTTTATTACCAGTTAATTAAAAAATCAGTTTTATACCCTGTATTAGTCTAATCCTCTAATTCTAAATTAATAATGTAATAACATATTTTTTAATATTGTCTACCTTAACAAAGATATATTTACAACTCCTGCAATTGTTTTATGTTATACGAATGGATCCATAAAGTCTACTTAGTAATGCAAACATGATAAAAATATATAATTGGGTGCACTGTTATAAGTATGATGTCTATACTGAAGTATCGTGGTAAAACATAGCAGTTCTAGCCCCTGCATTGTAATTTAATTGTCAATATTTTGAATTAGGATCTAAATGTAAGTATTTGATTGCTCTTTGCATGTAAAGCTGATTTTTGTCAACATATAATATTTTAAAAAATTTTGGTGTATTAGAGAATCCAGCAAGTCGAGTTAAGTATTACATATTATTGTTATATTTTCACATGCTGATTATTTTGACCTGTGTTAAATCAAGTAACCTTAGACACTTAAAGTACTGGTTTGTTGGGCTACTATTTCTTTAATAACTACTGAAATTCGGTCTTACTATATGAGGTTTAATCAAATGTAAGACAGTAGTTAGTTAGGTCAGTAGACTACGATCATATCTGACAGTAAAAGGCTTCTAACTCTAACATAATGGGAATAACTTTAATGTCCTTGTCAAACCAACGTTTTTTAATTTTAGTTTTTTTATAACGATGTCCAAATCTTTACAAAATTGTTATGTATGATAGTTTTTTCTGGGCAAAAGAGTAACCACACTTTTTATCTTATAAGGTGGAAAATTGTCAGTACCTGCTGTGATTTTAGCATAAAATGAGCATGATAGGAATGCTGTAAATAATTGCGTCTTAAATGTTCATATATGTACTTTATATTCCTCTACCATCCGTTAAAATATTGTGAACAAGAAATGTTAAGTTATAAAAAGCAGAATTTGAACTGTAAATATAGTGAAAATATTTGGCTTTAAACTCACTTTCTACTGAAACGTTAATTAGTTTCATAATAGCGAAATCGGACCGTTTTCTTTTTTCTTAATATATGCACAAAATTCTTTTAATTAATGTTTTCCATATTGGCAATAAAGTTTCTTTCACCTATGCACAAGAAAATCGTAATAGCTAATTTTTTTTGCATAATCGTTATAGCACATTTTCACCGTTAGCGAAATCCTTTCATTGAAGTTTATGATATCAACTAGTTTACTGTCTTGTTCTAACAAATTTGTAAGCCATTGAATAATAATTTTGTTCTTACTTTTTATCTAATAAATTACATTAATAACTAAAAAACATTATAATTATACTAATTTGATTAAATCGTACCATAAAAAAAACGTAAAATCAATGAAAACATACTTTTCTTTTCTACAGGTAGCATCCCTGGTACTAGCAGTCGCCTGCTACGGCCAATGCGGTGAGGCTACTAAAAATAAGAACGAGAAGCGTGGGATCTTCGAAAGCGACATTGGTAGTGCCCATGGTGGATTTGGAGGCGGCAGCATCTCCATTGGAGGACACGACGGAGGTTTAGACGGTGGTTCTATCGGCATCGGTGGTGGACATGGAGGCTTTGGAGGAGGCAGTGGAGGCAGTTTCGGTGGCGGAATAGGAGGAGGTTTCGGTGGCGGAGCTGGAGGTGGTTTCGGCGGCGGAGCTGGAGGCGGTTTCGGTGGCGGAGCCGGAGGTGGTGGCGGCGGCGCCACTGTTACTACCATCAACCAAGCCGTTCCATATCCAGTTCCACAACCATACCCTGTTACCGTTACCAGAAGAGTTCCTGTTCCTGTTGCTCAACCTGTAGCAGTACCTGTACCAAGACCAGTACCTGTAAGTATTTTTAATTTGTTTTTAATGGCATGATAGGAATGCTGTAAATAATTGGGTCTGGTGGAAAAATATAATGGATCGAATGCATTTAATTGTTTAATCAAATCTATAATTTAATTTACATTTTCATGTAGGTACTTAAAATTGTGACTTTGATACTTGAATAAAGATACGATGCGAATCATTTTATTTAAATTTCGATAAATGCTTCTTTAATATTTTTTTATTCGTTTTCTAGGTATCAGTACCAGTAGCTCAACCAGTACCAGTACCCAGGCCATACCCAGTAATCGAAAGACGTCCAGTACCAGTCGCTATCCCCACTCCAGTACGCGTACCAGTTGCTCAACCTGTTGGTGTTCCTGTTCCACAACCTTATCCAGTAACCGTTCCCCAACCAATCCCCGTTAGGGTACCTCAGACCATCGTAGTACCTGTTGCTCAACCTGTATTTGTTGGTGGAGGTGGAGGAGGAGGAGCAGGTGGTATCGGAGGAGGCTTCGGCGGTGGTATTGGAGGTGGCATTGGAGGAGGTATCGGAGGAGGTATTGGAGGCGGTTATGGAGGAGGTTATGGAGGAGGTTATGGAGGAGGTTATGGAGGCGGTCAAGGAGGCGGTTACTCCAGCTCTATCTCTATTGGTCATGGTAGCTCTCTAGGAGGAGGCTCCTTCGGTGGTCATGGAAGCTCTTTCGGAGGAGGCTCTTTCGGCGGTCATGGAAGCTCTTTCGGAGGAGGCTCTTTCGGTGGTCATGGAAGTTCCCTCTCTCTTGGAGGAGGATATGGAGGTGGTCATGGTGGAGCCACCAGCTACTCCTCTGTGTCCATTGGAGGTGGTGACAAATATTAAGAAACCAGAACAATTAGTCACAATTAATAATTGAAAATTCTATCAATGTGATATCAGTTTGTACATAGTTACAATTTGGCAATAAACTTCTATTTTACTAATTGTGTATATTTACTTTATAAAAATTTATTTCCTAATGTAACGTAAAGCACCGTTAATGTATCAATAAGAAGGTGCTACGTGGCATCTTACGATTGATCTAATTCAAGTTTCTATATTAATAAAATGGAATATTTTTTAAAAATATCTCGAGGTAGAAAGTTTATCAAAATAAATCGTTCATTTCTTAAACCGGTTTTCTATTTAGCTCCAGAAATTTTGTAAAGTGCTACTCATACATTATATTAGTTACTCATCTTTCCATGTTTCTTTTACAAACAATAACACAAAATAATTAAATAGATTATATTAACATATCATCATATCGTTAATTCTGATCAAAATTATCACTTTATTTAAAAGTAAAGTTTCGATTTGATTGGAAATTGTTGAAGTAGTTAAATCGAAACAATTATAAACAGTGAACCAGCTTCTATTCCTTGGTTTTTTATTAGTTTAGGAAGGTAGTGTTCTTAGGATCTGATTGCCAGAATTTTTATTCGCCAAATTCACAACATAATTTTTCATTTCAATTGTGCGTCATGTAATCCAACCCCATAACCCTAAAAAAATTGCATTCAAATGTTATCGACAAGATAGCAGTTAATATACTTTTCAAATGTATTGACCCCTAACCTTGAATGCTTAGGAAAGAACTGAGCATCATAATTAAACCATCTTCGATATACCAACTACTTGAATTGTTTGGTACAGTGTGATTCAGAACTTTTTTTGAATGTACTCTTACAAATACAATTTTGTAAAAAAAATTAAAAGGGCAGTTCGAAAATGATTTACAAATACACTTTTGCACGGCACTGGAAACTGGTTCTCTGTAAAACCTGACCTTGGCCAAGGCAAAGCATGCAGTTGGCGACCAACAAAAAATTGAAAGAATTTCCCAAGGAAAAAAATAAATAAAATTTTTAATACCTATCAGTAAATTCAACTGCTTTTGCCGCTATTATAATTAGTCAATAAAATGAATTTGTGGTTTTAATTAATAAAATAATTTAACGTACCACCTTATGTTACAACTGTTCACAATTTTGTTCACTAACATGTAAACACATTTGGACCCGTCTTACCCAGTATCTACAAACTAACACAAATGTCTCTTCGCCATAACACAAATGTTGTCTTGCTTGACCATAAATCAAAACAATATCCATCAACTACGGGTCGCTGTACACGTAAGTCGGTTCTACAATTGTAATATTAATGTAAACACTATCCCAAAAGCGTAAATACTAAAATCGGACATCAATATTCGCAATCGTCTGGAACTGCGTAGAGCGAGAGTGCACAGCGCCCAACGCGAATAAAATGCATTCCGATGACGGCAGAAACTACAGCTGCCCAGCGTTTTAAAGGTTGAAAATATTACAACTACAATAATTTATTTTTTATTTCATTAAGCATCTATTCTTAATTATTATTTTTTTTGATAAGTTGTGAATCACCCTATGCAGGGTATCCCAGGATTTTTTCCGGGCTATTCAATGATGACCTTGAATTTGACCTTGGCATTGACCTTGAAGGTTATTTCAAGATCAAGGTCATTCTTTCAAATGAGAACACCTACTTTTTATCACGCCATTAGAAAGATCGGAAAATTTTTTGTCAAAATATGACTTTGACCATAACCTTGAGATCATGGTTATTTCAAGGTAGGGGTCAATCTTTGTGAGGGTAACCCATAATTTTTATTGTGGAGTTAGAAGGAGCGGAAAATTTTGCTTCCGAATATGACTTCATGACCTTTATTTTTTAGACCACTTCAGACCACTTTTGTATTAAACGTTTTTTCGTATATCCCTTTACTTTTCCAAGTTATTCTGCGGTTTCCAGGCGGTATCTTTCAAAAATCTTATTTGACCTTAAAATGACCTTGACCATGGTATTGGTATGGTATGGGATATTCAAGTACAAAATTTCTGAAATATTCAATTCCGATTGTTACTTTTTCTTCCTTTATTGGGTGTTAGGAGGCATAACAAAATTAGTACACTATTGCACATTGTAAATATTTCGTCGTTTTTATTACAATTTCAGAGCCCTACATAAAACCCAACAAATAGTGTACTGAAGATGTAATAAAGACGACGAAAAGTCGACAAAATATAAGTGGTTAATTACACGTGGCTGAAATCGAATCGATCTTAGAATTATTCCACCACATTAGGTTTTAGAAATATCCTTTCCTAAAAGTGCAAAAGACAAAAAACATTCGGAAAAGTGTAGTCTGGTTTTTAGTTTAAAATTTTGTCAGTATGTGTTATGTTGCTAGATAAAAATAAACAGGGCGATTTAGTCATAGTATCATTAATTTTAACTACGTATTCGAAAGCCTAATAAATACAGAACATAAAAAACGTAATGAATTTTTAAAAAATAAACAAATTATCCCTTAACTCCTGTTAATTTGGAGCCCTACTTCGCAACAGGGAACGCGACGGCAGACTACAGAGCGTTCGAACGTTGAAGCGAAACAGCTGATTTTCTCAGTCGCCTTGAATTTTGCAATTGGTTTAAAAATCTAAATGTTTTATTATTTATTTATTAACAAAATGCTATGAACGGATAAGTGTTTTTTTAACCGCACTGGCATTGTAAATATGTAGGTTGGTATATACTACTTTTTCAAAATCAATAAGTCACTATGTATAGTACTACAAACTAAATTGAACATAATACTAAAAACTCAAATTCAATTATAAAACAATGAAAACGTAAACAATGTTAATAATACTATATACTGTAATAACCTAACATTCGAAAATAATTATTACCGTTATACATTTGTTTTATTAACAAATAAATAATAGGTATTTGTTAATATGTAAAATCTAAAAAAATATCTTATTCATTCATGTACCTAGAAAAAAAGAACTGTTGTTTCCTTATCGTCATTAGGGATTAAAAATGCAGTAAAAGGTTGATGACCGAACAATACGGTAGGTTCACTATTGATAAACCTTTGTGGGTCAGCAGTCAGGTGCGGTCCGAAATGGGGTTTAAATAATGATTTGAAAATATTTTTGTTTAGTGCAAATAAGTGTAAATATGCATTTTATTTTTTTTTAATTGCGTATTCGTATTCTACTCATTTTCCCCCATCTTCCCTTAAAATTAATGACATTATGACTAAATCACCCTGTATTTTTGTTTGAAATTTCATCATAACAGACACTTCCAGACTTCGTACAGGTACATGGCATCAGGGTTCTAAATATTTCATTCTTTCTTGCCAATATTCCAGTAAAATCCATCCTTCTCTCCCTTACCATGAAATTCGTTACTTCTGTGAAATATTCACATTAGGAATATACAGTCACGGCACAAATTACTGTTGTTAAACAAACTCTTTATATGATAACATGATGTGACGATTTTTATAGGATCTACAGTGAATATATCTACCAGGTATTCCAAAATTAATGTAACAAAATTTGATCACAGATTCTTACGACAAATTTAGGGGACCCGTATTTTTTATTTTTGCCAAGTAGCCTCTTTCGGAGTTACAGCCTCTACGAGAATCACTAAATTTGGTATACAGAGGTTTTATAACATGTGAAATCTGTCAGTGCTACGCTTTTTGGCGGGGAACCCCCTTAGGATACTTTTTCTAGGACCCCCTTGTCTTTGGAACCAAAAAAATTTGGTCGCATATTTGAATTTCTTAAAAATTATTAGTTCGTTAGAAAGCCATTGAATTTAGAAACTTTTTTGTCTCTTGATATTTTTTTCGTAAAACACAATGTTTTCGAGAAGAATGACAATATGTGATCGAATGCATATCGTTATTCGTGATTCCTATGAAATTCTACATATTAATCGTAGGTGGCTGACGATTCATTCGATCACATTTTGCCATTTTTCTCGATAATATTAGTATTGACGCATCGAACCACTCGGCCACAGACAACATGAGAGAAAAGAAGTTTATTGCGTTGTCGAATTTCTGGAGGAATGGAGTTTTCTCCCATAACGCCATATGTTTACTTCTTGGTGTACAGTTTGACAAAATTCATCTTGTAGGCGAGCTTCGGATGGGCAGCAGGTAATTTGCTCATATAAATACATAGGTAATATGAAACCTCCATTAAGAAACTATATTTACCAGACTGAAGTAAAATGTTTGCAAAGGCGTGCCTGCCTGAATTACCTGAATTGAAATCTACTATCTTTGCCATGTCTATTGCGGACTTATGTACTTCTTAATCTGTGCATCTAGCAGACAAGACGAATTTAGTAAAGCTGTAATGCTTCTTACTACATATGAGAAGTTTGAAGTAATTTTGACGTTCGGCGACTGCACACCACTAACAACAAAATATGTTCTCGTCCAATGAGGCATTTATAGTTTTAATTTTTGCACGAAAAGAAATGTTCCCATTTTGGAAATTGGGATTGTTTATTCCTGTTTTACAATAGGAAGTCATTGTTGGTACAACTATTACTGAACGGATGTATGAATATATTAGCTATAATTATTCACATTGTTAAAATAGTATTAAGACGCCAATTAAAAACATAAATTACCATTATTTTATCACTAATTCAAAAGTCGAGTAAAATGTGACTAAAAATATCGCATGTTCACTTATTTTCAATGAACATGAAACAGTAGAAAAATGTACCTACGTAGAGAACCTTTCCCAATATTACCATTTTGACTTCAAGAGCTTGTGGTGCAGTGGTAGGTATAACATATAACCAAAATTCCACAAAGTTATGACCAAAATAAGCTTCAGTAAAAATGTAGGCATTCCTATGTATACCTACCACACTCTGTCATGTGTCACTGTAGACAGTGTGTCCCGTTTTTCAGGTTAACACCTCTGAAAATGTGATTTTTTTGCAAATAGTACTGTGAAGGGAGGTTATATTTTAGTAATCATTTTATTGATACCAAAAAACCTGACCTACTACGATTTTTTAAAAGGGTTATTATCCAGAAAGTGGTATTAGGCATTCTTTATCAAAAAGATAATATTACCAGGCTATTCAACACGCATCAAAATGCCCATATTCCTTTGATCGACAAATGTCTATTAATTATCTGTTTTTTTAAGGGAAGGTAAAACTCCAAAAAACAAAAAAACAAAAAATTATGATAATCAGGTCAGAGATTGCTATGAAAGTGAAAACAAGTACCTACCAATCGGACAAAGAAAAAATACAGACTATAAATTTAACACTTTTAATTGCGGCCGCAGTAAAATTAATAATTAATAATTATAATCGAACACATTTTTCCAATCGTCTTCTTAAATTTAAAAATACTTTACATAGCTGCTGTGGAATAATTTCTGCACAAGCTTGTTTTATGGGATTTTTTAGGTCATCCAAATTCCTTGGTCTGTTTTTATAAACCTTGTTTATAAAACCCCCAAAGGTAAAGTCCATAGAGGACAAATCAGGGGATCTTGGTGGCCATTGTACTACTGGATTCCTTCTCCCAATCCACTTATTAAGAAACTGGTCATTAAGCCAATTTGACTGCGACAGTGTTATGGATTGGAGCTCCATCCAACTGTATATAAATATTTCTTGTATCCAATAAAAGAATATCGCGTATAATGTCCCATAATTCATTTACAAATTGAAGAGGTGCTTCCCCATTTAAGTTATTTAAAAAGTAGGGACCTATTACCCTGTGCTTTGATATTCCGCAAAACACATTAACTTTCTTGGAATACTGCCTCTTTGCTGCAATTACAAAATTAGGATTATTTTCATTCCAAAATCTGATACTTTGAGAAGAAAAACTGCGGAAATTTTCACCCCGTAATCTAATAATCTATATTTTTTCTTGTGAAGATAAATATTGTGGCATGACTGCCAGAGATTCTTACTTTATAACACTAACTAGTTTATCAGTAACAGTTAAATGTCAAAAATGTCAGCAATAAAGCTTTTTTTTCATTCATTCAGTATAATTGGTAAACTATACATAAGAATATCTTCCTATTAGGGAAGAATATTTATCCATACAGAATAAAAGCTATGTAAAGTCATTTTAAATTTAAGAAGACGACTGGAAAAATGTATTCGACTGGTAAGAGGTTTGGTTTAGAAAACTAAAATTTAACTTAGTATTTTTATTTCATTACATTTTTAGTACGTTAATTATTAATTTTACTGTGGCCGCAATTAAAAGTCTTAAATTTATAGTGTCTGTATTTTTTCTTTGTCCGATTGGTAATTGTTTTCATTTTCATGGCAATCTTTGATCTGCTTATCATTATTTTTAGTTGTCTGATTTTTCGAAGGTTGGCACCCCATAAAAAACACTCAGTAGACATTTGTAGATAAAATTTGGTATATGGGTATTTTGATGGGTGTTGAACAGCCTGGCAATATTATCTTTTTGATAAAAAAAATGCCTAATACCACTAATACCACTTTCTGGAAGAACGACCGTTTTAAAAAATCGTAGTAGGCCAGGCTTTTGTCGCATCAATAAGATGGTTAGTAGAATATAACCTCCCTTCACGGTACTATTTGTAAAAATATTGGTTCGCGAAAAGTCCACAGCATTCTCACATTTCCAGAGGCGTTAACCTGAAAAACACATTTGTTAACATTAAATTCATCTAGCAAAGAAAGATAAAAGTATACTTACATCCCTCAAAGTAAACCTACTGCAGGGGCGTGGTATGAAAATAAGCAATTTTTATTAACAAACTGATCTAAACAGGTCTAAAGCATTACGTTTTAAACTGAAAAAGAATTATCACATGAAGTTTTAAAAAAATTTAAAGCTGACATTTATTCACATCTCATTTAACAAAAAAATTAAACGAATAAACGAATTACTTACTAAGAGACGATATGCTTTACAAAAATTATTCAAAGTTGTTTCCTAAAAAACATGTTTCCAAACAACGGTCAAAATTTTATCACCAAAACACCACACACTCACTGAAAACCGTTGCTGGAACAAAGATTTCTGTACAATGTGAGGATCTGCATCACACCAATAGTTAATGTTGTGAAAATTTAGTAGGTATGCCGTCTCTAGTAAAATATTCATCCGTAAAAAGCATCTTTCTTGTAAAATGCAGAACTTATGCTATTTAATGTCAAAACCACATAAAATCATTGTTATTTTATGCCTGAACCCTATGTAATGATAGAGGTGTAATAATTGTTCCCGTAGTACACGGCATTGTTAGTTTTATACGCCGAGTAAGTGATAGTGCAACACACAACGCACGTGCACAAGATGCAAAGGGTCGGCTTACATTTATAGTTAATTTTCTTAATTAATTTTCTCGAGAACAGAAGCATTTAGACCATCAATTACTTAATAAAAACTGCTCACTTTCGTGCCCTCTATTACCCTTTTCAAGGAACGCACTTACTTCAGAAACACCCTGTACTTCATTATTTTTTTTTAATTTATTGCCCGATGAATTTAAATCACTATACAAGATATTTTTGAAAATGTACTTTCCCGTAGATCAACTGCCATCATTTTCTGAAAGATAAATAATAGGATTGCTGATTATCTCTGAATGGTAACATGATAGGGATTCTGCAATCCTCTTTTTGGACAGTCTTGTGTCTTATTAAAAATTGACGTTCTGTTAGAATACTCAGCCTTTGCATAAAAGTGGAAGCTTTTCCTTGGTTGCATTTCATTCAAAAGAATTCCTTGATAATATTCAAGATATGTTGTATATGCACTTTTCGACACTAATGAGTATTCAGCCAAGCCACACGAAAATGGTGCACATGTTGGATGCTCCCGGTGAAAGTTCGGTATTTTTAAACGTGTTCATTGAATGCCTTTGCAAGGACCCCCACATTGGTATATAAACCCTCCACCCCGTGGAGAAGTTATCATTTTCATTCTTCTTCCCACGAGTAACACCAACATGAGAGTGATTCTGGTAAGTTTTATCATTTCTGTAATAGAGAAAGGAAATACTTTAAAATTAATAATTCCATCATTAATTGTTAGTGTTAACAGTGCGTAAAGTGAAGTAATAATTAGCTGAATAAGTTATTTAATATTTATAATTTCATAATGTTTTAATAAGAAGATTTTGTAAGTATGGACTATACAATTGATAAATGTTTTATCACTTGGAATAATTTAACTGAAAAATTTTAAATTCGTTCTATCTGAAATGTAAAAATTGAACCGAACATATTTATGAATATTTTAAAGACATAAACAGTAAAGATACTTCTGTATTTGTTAAAAATGTTAAATAAGTTAATCAATTTTGTTATAATACCCTTAACAAAAAGTAATATGTTTAAATATATAGCGAAAATTAGTCTGTAACTTAAACCTATACCTTACAACATAATATCCAGCTCCAATTTGGTTTCTGAAAAGGTTTTTTGAATAGTAAAATTGCTGTTGCCCTACAAGTAAAATGTTTGAAGTCTTAGATGACGGAAATAAAAGAACAGTATCTATTGACTTAACAAAAACGGTGGATCATATTTAAGAAATAGAATTTAACACACAGAAATAAACAATAAAAGAACTCGTGCAGAGACAGCGAAGTGTGGCATATAACTAGGTACAGTTTTGAGGTCAGTTTTGTTCATAATATATCATAAGTTATGCTGATGATTTAGCATCAAATTGGGAGAATTTGGACATAAACAGGAAAAAGGTCCAAAAAAAATATAAAAAACTGTTTTGACAACTACTATCACTAAATTCAAGAACAAAATATTTGGTCTTCTATCTTTAGGAATTTTCTGCTCCTCCATTTAACTTGTTATCGATGGCTTCTTTAGAATAACATCTACATTGTGTTGAAATGGGATCATAATTATGGTAACTTTAAGGGACATTCAAGATATTAAACAACTGAAAATAGTATATACAGATAATATGGTATTGGGGTATATTTGATACGCATGTAGAAACTTTGCTGAAAAAGATTTCAAAATTAATGTTATATAAAAACTTGCTTATCCTTCAGATAAAAGCAGTAATACAATGGAAATGATGCTAACCTATCCTATCCTCTATCTTATCTTCTTAGGTAGCATCTTTGATACTAGCAGTCGCATGCGGCGAGGCTACTAAAAATAAGAACGAGAAGCGTGGGATCTTCGACAGCGACATTGGCAGTTCTCATGGCGGATTTGGAGGCGGCAGTATCTCCCTTGGAGGACATAGCGGAGGTTTAGACGGTGGCCCTATCAGCATTGGTAGTGGACATGGAGGTGGTTTTGGAGGTGGCAATGGAGGAGGTTTCGGTGGCGGAATAGGAGGCGGTTTCGGTGGTGGAGCTGGAGGTGGTTTCGGTGGCGGAGCTGGAGGTGGTTTCGGAGGCGGTTTCGGTGGTGGAGCCGGAGGAGGAGGAGGCGGCGGCGCTACTGTTACTACCATCAGTCAAGCCGTTCCAGTTCCTGTGCCACAACCTTACCCTGTTACCGTTACTAGAAGAGTACCTGTCCCTGTTGCTCAACCTGTGGCAGTACCTGTACCTAGGCCAGTACCTGTGAGTAATTTCAGTTTCACGCTACTTTATATTCAAGTACTTATAACAGTAAACTTTATGAAATTAAATAAATGTTGAGATGCAGTTAAATAACAATATTAAACTTCGTAGATACATAACATTAAGCAGAATATATCAACATTAACTAATTATTAATTTGTTAAAGATTCCGTTAATGAATACCTTTTCTCTCAGGTTACCGTACCAGTACCTCAACCCGTACCAGTACCAAGGCCCTACCCAGTAATTGAAAGACGCCCTGTACCAGTCGCTATCCCCACTCCAGTACGTGTACCAGTTGCTCAACCTGTTGGTGTTCCAGTACCACAACCCTATCCAGTAACCGTTGCCCAACCAGTCCCTGTTAGAGTGCCCCAGACCATTGTAGTGCCAGTCGCCCAGCCTGTGTTTGTTGGAGGAGGTGGAGGAAGAGCAGGTGGCGCAGGAGGCTTCGGCGGTGGTATTGGAGGTGGAATTGGAGGTGGATTTGGAGGTGGATTTGGAGGTGGTATTGGCGGTGGTATTGGAGAAGGCATTGGAAGTGGTTTTGGCGGAGAAATCGGAGGCGGTTATGGAAGCGGTTATGGAGGAAGTTATGGAGGAGGTTACTCCAACTCAATCTCTGTTGGACATGGAAGTTCTCTAGGTGGAGGATCCTTGTCTCTTGGTGGTCATGGAAGTTCGATCTCTCTTGGAGGAGGATATGGAGGTGGTCACGGCGGAGCTAGCAGTTACTCTAGTGTGTCCATTGGAGGGAGTGGCAAATATTAAAATACCTCAAAAATTAGTCACAGTTAATAACTGAAAATACTGCCAATGTGATAATAGCACGTAGTAGCTTTGCCAATTATAATTTTTGTACATTGTTACATACCGAAAATAAATTTATATTTTCCTACACACATGTACTTATTGATTATTATTTAAGCAATTTTATTTAATTTTCTTAAATTACTTTTAAAAAAATTAAAATAAATTATAGTAGTTGATGTCGCGTGGATACCTTTCTGTTTTACGTCTGCTGTAAATTGTATTCGCCGTGTGTATTTAAAGAACTATTTATAAATAGTAACATAATTTACATTAACATTAGCTGGGGGAAAAAGTGAAGTAATGCTTAGAAAAGCACGTAGTAATATATTTTAACTCCTTCCAATATGCCACGGAAGCCTTGTCTCAACACTAAGGTTTATCTGGTAAGTGGCGTCATTTAAATTTATATAGCTATTTTATCCTCCACTTGCCTTGCCTTGCTCTTTGGTAATAGTACTATGTTGCAACATGTTTCTGTAAACATAATGTTTTCATTCGTAGTCTGACTACGGTCCTGTTAAACTCCGCGCCGCACTAACAATAAGCCTAAAAATAATAGGTCTTTCTGCAAAAACTTCATTCTCGACACAAATACAATGTGTAGACAACTTTATCGACTGGTAAAAAATTAAGGATAAAATACAAGCGCTGGACAAGTGATTACCTGCGATTAACTGCACATTATATTCTTTAATTAGTTGAGATATCAAAGTGAAACAGATGTAAATCGATAACTGTGGCAGGTGATAACATTTAACTGCGACAACAGTTATTTTCTTTAACTTTAGAAATGACTAGTGCATAATTTGATATATTAAGTAAAATATTTATTGCTGTTGTTGTTGATTTTGATACTATAATTAAAAGTAATATACCTACAGAGTGACCCATTTGAAAGCGAGCCACCCTCATAACATTTTTATTTATGGAGCGATTTTGACGAAATTTTTTTTGAAATGTGGAGGGCGGAAAGGTGTATTTTGGGGCCAAGCGGCGTCCAGTATTTTTTAAAACTAAGGCCTACTA